ACAGTCCTTGAAATGTATTTATCATAGTCATTTTTATTGCTATGGTCAATTATTTGCAAATAGTATAGGTATCTTTTTTGTTATATAGTATCATCCCAAGGCAAGAGATCTATGGATAAATGTAGCAAGGCATATTTGAATAGGGTGGAAAGCTGACTGAAATATATTTGTGGGAGCAAAATAAACTTCAAATGAATTTTTTTTAAAAAGATGAATTTTCACAAGTCAGCAGTTGTCCTCTTTCTCATACTCTCCTGCTATCTAATTTCTGACAAGTGTGAAGATGCAAGCCAGTAGGGAATATAGTTAAGATTCTTGCTGAAAACACTGTGTCTTAAGACTAGGAACTATGATGATTTTAGGGGAGGATCTTTAGTAGTTTTAAAATTTTTCAAAAGATACATTTTAAAAACCCATTTCCGATTATTTTCAAATCTCTAGAATTTTACGCTAGTATATTGACAGTGATGTGTGGTTTCTCAAAACACTGTTTGTTGCCAGAGGGTATCTTAGTCTAGAACCCTCTTCAAATCTGAAAAATAAATACCTGAGGACACCTTGCCAATTGAGGGTGAGGAAATTTATCAGCCAGCTGGTGGGTGAAGTAAGACGTGCAGAGAAGACAAGATCGTGTAGGAGGGACTCCACGCATCAGAAGTTCACCCGCTCCTTGGAGTCATCCTTCTAGTTTTCTGCAAGGGGTTTAGAATAAATGCACCTGAGCTCTCCCTCTCTGCGTGGCCGTTTAGCCCCTGAGAAGATGGAATCAGCCCTCTTCCATAGGTAAGCCTGTGTTACAACATTTCCATTTGCTCTCAAAGGTGGAAACGTGGCTTCTGCAGCTGGAACAGACCATGCAAGAAACAGTGCGACGTTCTATCATAGAAGCCATAGCAGCCTATGAGGACAAACCGAGGGAGCTGTGGATTTTTGATTTCCCGGCTCAAGTGGCACTAACTAGCTCGCAAATCTGGTGGACTACAGATGTGGGAATAGCCTTCAGCAGGCTGGAGGAAGGCTACGAAACGGCCCTAAAGGATTTCCATAAAAAACAGGTATTTTATAAGTTCATGATTTCAAGACTTAAAGGGACTTGAAGAGGTAAACTTCATTCATTCATTCATTCATTTTTTTAATTTAATTTTTTTGGGGGGAGAGGTAATTAGGTTTATTTGTTTATTTAAATACAGGTACTGGGGGTTGAACCCAGGACCTCATGCATGCTGAGCATGTGCTTTTCCACGGAGCCTCCTCCCATTCATTCATTCTTGTTTATGGAGTGTCTTCTGTGTGCAAGGCGCAGTGCTAGGAAGAGGTTAGCCGTCAGTTGTTCAGCTTTCCATTCCCTGCCTTGGTGTTACCCTTCCTTGTTTCCTGCGTGGGTTTGAGAAACATCCATTACGTCCATTATCTCCCAAGGCTCTAGTCTGTCACACATACCTAGATATTGTACCTCCTTTTTTCCTTTTGTGTTAGACTTTCCATCTAGGCTGATAAAATATGTACGTGATCTATTTGACTCGAAGAGAGAGAGGGCTGTTCGAAAAAGACAAACGTTTTCATGTATTTTGGTTTTCTGTTAACTATAAATCACAGATGAGCATCTTTGGAGGATAGTCTATTTTTAACTCCATTTTATCACCCCAGTTATACTATGACCTCTCCTTAAGCCTCCCGTCTTAAGATGTGCTCTGGACTGGGGAACACTCACAGATGGAACTTTTCGCTTGGCTTATAGGTTAGGAGAATATTAGGCTTATCTTCTCGGGCCACACTGCGCAAAGTGTATTCCCTGTGCCAGCAGCAGTGACATCCCCAGGAAGCTGGTCAGAAATGCAGAATCTACCCAACACCTACTGAACCAGAACATTCTTTCTAACAAGATCCCAGGAGATTTGTATGCAGTCAAGTTTGAGAAGTGCTGTCCTGGTGTATTTGGGAAAGAACTGTTCCAGTGTGGTTGTGTACAAGCATTATATATGAAAATAAATATTATGAGTTAATTTAGAAAAGAATATTAGGCTTGGAAAGGTGTTTAAGAATTAGTCTGTCTACCCTTCTTGTGTTCTATGGGTAAAACCTAAGCCTCAATCCAGATATTTTAAGTGACTTTCCCAGTGTCGCACATTTTGTAAGTGAAGTTGACGGGGCTGGCAGAATTCAAAACTCCTGTTACTTCTTCCCTTACCGGTACTTTGAACTCAGTACCTTAAAAAGCAAATAGATTCAGGTAGTGAAGGGTACTTGTGTTGACTATCCCTTCTAGTTTGGCTCTTGTAGTCCCAAGTAGAGACCATCTGACTTATACATGTTACTGAAGAAGTTTTTGTCACTTACTTTTGGAGAAAAGTATATTCTTTTTGATTTTGCATCCCTAGGGAAATGGGATATTGGTTTTTGAAGCAGGCTTGAAGTCACAGAATTAGGTTGAAACGAGTGACTGGTTTTCCCTAGAGCACTATGTCTGCAGTTCTAGGCCATGCTCCTTGGATGAGAAAGTGAAGTAGTTAATTTTTTCCCCTCCAGGGGTGTAAATAACTGAGATAATTAAATTGTAATGAATTCTATTGTGCTTATTAAAATAACTGACTGGTTAGTTGATTTATTGGCATCTGTGCTTTTATTATAACTATAGTATTTTTATTATATGTTTGAGTAAGGATATTTAAAAATACTTAAATATCCCCACTTAAATTTTAGCTATTACCAGTCACCGCTCAAGCTTGAATCTTTCAATAAATGTAGTTTTGCTTCCTCTGTTCTAATATTCTTTCCTCTTTTTATTTAACTATCCCTTGCCCCCAATTTATTATTTTTTGTGATAATTAGAATATTGCTTAAAACAGTAATTGATCTCTGGTGGATATTTCTTTTTTATATCATCTTTATTATCTTCAGTCTCATGACTTCTTTATTATATATTATTAAAGATGAAGAAGTAGAAAATCCAGAGACAGAAAGGGAAAAAAGGAAAATAATTTCTTAGAAAACACCCATAGATTCACTTCCCACAGATAACCGTTGACGATATTTTGGCTTACAAATGGCAGAAGTTTCCTCTGTATCTGCTGTCTCTTTTTTTATATATGAGTGTGTGTGTGTGTCTATGTGTGTATGTGTGTCAGCAGTATGTAGCTATGTACATGTATGTGTAGTTATTTCTGTTGGTTATGTGTATACAAATAAGAAAAATACCATTTTACAGTCCGTACATTTTGTTATTTTATATTTTCACTCAATATATTATCTACATTTTCCCTTTTCATAAATATGTATCAAATTCATGCCAAAAATGACCAAGTCTTACCCCTTTATATGGCTGTACTAGAGCCGACGTGCTCCCTGCCGCTGTCTCTGGGCGAATGCTAACAGTCTGACCGCCCGACAGGCCCTGTTCCAGGCTGTGTGGTTCCAGCAGTGACTTCCTGCCCTCGTGGTGCTTACAGCTGCTCCACTATTCATAGTTCTTACTTCTTCCTCCTAAGGACCTTAGAATCTTTTTTTCGGGTCTCTTCTTACTTGGTGTTGCTTAACCTTATTTTATATTAATCACCATAAATTGTGTTATTATTTTAAATCTTACATATTCTTAGCAACATGTTTAGCAGTAACTTTGCTCGGTATTGTTTGAACCCTGTTTCTTATTTCTGTGTTCAGTTCTCCTGTTAAAGTATATCTTGTAGCAGTTTGCCCAGTGATGGATAGTAAGTAGGGAGTTTTCTGATCCTTTGTCTTATTTGACTTCCTTCTTGATACTTGAGATAGAGAATTCTGAATTGAGAATTATTTTCATTCAGAACTTTAAAATATAATTCCATCATTTTGCAGCCTTGATGGTGGTTGTAAAGTTAAATTGAAATCAGATTGTTTTTCCTTCATAAGCAATCTGACTTTGCCTTTGGCTGATTTAAGAATTTTTTTTTTACTTTTTCTGATTCTGATGTTTCATTATACTCTATATAGTTGTGGATTTTTTTTTCATGCTTTTTAAATTTAGTTTGCTGAGGTCTGAGTGAACTTTGTGAATGTTCAGTTACATTTCTTCAATTCGGGAAAATTCTCTTCCCTTTTTCTCTTTGATACCTTTCTTCTGTTTGCTCTCATTTCTTCCTCTGAAATTTTATCAGCTGTATGTTGAATCGTCTCATGCTATCCTCCCTGTCTTTTGATCTCTATATTTTTAAACTCTCCACTTTTTGGTGCTGCAATTCAGGTGACTTTTGGAATCTATCTTCTAGTTCACTAACTTTTTCCCCTTCAATGATTAAGAAAAAGGAGTCCAGGACCAGATTACACAAGTTCAAATCTCATCTTTGCCATTCATTAGCTCCGTGACTTTGGGCAAGTTGTTTAACCACTCCGTGCCTCAGTTATGTGATCTGTAGAACAGGGATAATAATTGCACCTGCACCGTGGTATTGCTAGAAGGGGTAAATTAGTTAATATATGTGAAAAACTAAACAGTACTTGACAAAATTGCAGTACTATGTAAATGTTAGCTACTGCTGATACTGTGAAAATAATGATACCAGTAACAGTGTTGTCTAATGTGATGCATAATTTAAGGAGTTTTTCCTCAACAATTATCATACAATTTTTCAAACGTACAAAACAATCAAAAGAATTGTACCACGGTGTGCATGCCTACCTCCTAGATTCTACAATTAATATTTTGTTTCATTTTCTCATTTCCTTATCACGTTACTTGTGCTTGATCCAACCTTCTATCAAACCATCAATCTGTCTTAAATTTATGATTCATTTCAAAGGAAGTTGCAGATATTAGTAATCTTTGCCCCAAACAGTTCAGTATACATACCCATTTCATTAGTTTGACTTCAGTCACTGTATCTCAATTTCCCAAAGTTTTTTTTTTTTGTTCTTTAAAAATCAGTTTTATGGTGACTTATCTCTTCATTATGGTTTCTTCTATCTCAGTAATAGTCTTATTTAGATTGTTCTACTAACTCTTTGGAGGCTGGTTCTTCTTTTAATTTGAATTTGTTTTTTTCTGTGTTCATTTTTAGAGGTTATCTTTATCTAAGTTTGTTTTATTCTGGAGGAATTCTGTGTGTCCTACGCTGAGCAGATGTCCCTACAGCATGTTTTTCTCCTTGTTTCTTCCAAGTTTCTGCAGGTTTAATGAGTTCTGGATTAACGTTGTGGTTAATTACTCAGGCTTGGATTTCCAGATCATACTGGCAGGGGCAGTTTGGATGCCGTAGCTTCATGTGGCCTGAGATTTTGATTTATTTTAGGGGACTTTTTTTTCCTATCCAAAGCCCCAAGATGTTCCAAGCTTTCTCCTTGCTTCTCTGAACTGGTGGGTAGAGGTTTTCTAAAACATTTTATTGGACAGTGTTAAGACTCCGAGGATCTCAGCTTTATGTCAGCATCTCAATTCCAGTTCCCTGCCCTGCTCGGGGAGTGTCAGAGAAAGAGAACAGAAATATTCTGTTGCCATGTGGGCAATTTAACGTTCCGTCTCCAATCTTTGGGTCTCTACTCAGATCCTCCTCTAGGCTGCCATGGCCTGAGCCTGCTAACCTCATTCTACTGCTCTGGCTTTGATGCACATCCTTGGCCTTAGGGAACATCAGTCACCCACTCTCCCTCCACCCTTTATCCTTCTTCCTTCCCACCTCTTTGCTGGGCCATGTACTTTGCATGTGGATGTGTTTTGTTTTATTTAAATGTCCTCTGTGTTAATAAAGGAATTGTTCATTCAGTTTAACCAGTTATGTTGCAAGACTGCCTAATGTTATTATCACTACTGCTTAATACTGGCTATTGAGGTTGTTTTTATTTCTGACTATCGTTAATACTGCAGTAAACAGTCTTGTATTTACACACGTTGCACATATTTTCTTTATTTCTTCAGGATAAATTTCCAGGTGTAAAATTGCTAGGTCAAAATATATACCTTTTTTAAGTCTTTGAAGCCTCTTGCCAAATGTACGTTTCACCTGTGTGTGAGATTTGTCCATTCCCTCCCCTGTCGTCCACGTTGGGTTGATTCTTTTTATTCTTATAGCTAAAGTTATTCATATGCCAC